CATGTATTGTCAAAGAGAAGACAAAACTAAAGAAAAAGAATAGAATTGGAGGACAAAGGCCAAAACWGGGAAAAGAAAACAACTGAGCAGGCTGAAGATGGTTTAGTAAATAAAATACAAATGGAGATTGTTAATGTGAAAGAAAGAATGTTTCAGAGGGCAGAAGAGATGGGAGATTGTTGGTGAGCCAATATGCACTTAAACATTTCCGGATGCACAGAGAGAAAGTTGAGCCTTGAAGACACTGAGTTTAAAGTGAGGGAGAGAAAATAAAAAGGAAAGTGTATGTCCTTAATCCAATTAAATTTTATTTAGGAATAGGTGAAAGCTGTTTTAAATTAGTTGGTTTTGTGCATTTTCATGCACATGAATCCTCTCATGCTTTTGTCAAAAACATGACAAAGAGAATAAGTGCTCTTTGGCTTATGGTATGCCATCATTAAAAGCACCACATGCAAATTTTATAGTGAGAATATGAAGAAACTGCTGCAGCAGCAGAGGAAAAATACCTGGGCCCTGTTTCTTCAGGGCTTTTCTGATTTATGCAGATTAGTTGAAACCAACTGCTTAGGTCTTATCTCCTTTTGGGTCAAGAATCAGCAGGGAGGAAAAGTCGGGGGTTATGGCTTCACTTTGCCATCTGGGCAAATGTTTTTATCAAGCTTCCAGGTAGTGAAGCTACTTTTGTTAACCAAAATCTTGAAGTCTTTTTAGTGGTGAGAGAGTTGTAAATTTGAAGTACTACTCATGCTGCATTCATCCACTTACAGGTTTAATCCACTTGTTTTGTATTCTCATATACAAAATACAGTATTTTGCATGAACTACTTTATTTAAAAGCATATAAAAGTAATACAGTGTAATACAATAAGTACCTCTGTAATCAAAGTGTGTTTCATTTCATAGCTTTAAAGTATTTAACAGATGAGTATTATTCCACTTTTAACAAATGTTTGAATTGGCTATTTCTGTTACCCTTTGACTAGTGTTTTTATAACTGTCCAAACCTAGTTTTAACCTACTAAGAATTGCCTTAGATTTCTGATTTGCCATGAAGTTTCTTAACATAGAGAGGAAATGTGACTCTTTTTGGAGGAGTGTGTCATTGAATCAAAGCTTGACATCCACCTGGGCTAAGAAAACTGTCTGTTTGTTCCCTGGGGAAATGCTTTGAGAAGGTAACCCGTTTTTATGAAGTGTGCCCTTCTAAATTATGATTTTTTTAGTTTAGCRTGCCCCAAGGCAAAACGTTTCAGAATATTTTAGAAGATCCTGGCAGTTTAATTAATCTTATGGAAATAATGCTAAAATTCATTCTCTGTTTCCTTGTTCATAAACTATATGGTATTTCATCCCTGCACTGTCAATGGCAACTGTTAACTGTATCTTTAAGGGTGACAAAAACTGGCTCAGTTTTGTTCCGAGGGGTAGTGGGAACTGGTCTCTTGTTCCACCAGAGGTAGGGCAGGTGGGATACCCCTCTGTATAGAAAAACTCTCCTGAGACTGAAGGATTTTATGTGAAGAATGGGTGAATTTGGTCGACACTGGTGAGCATTTGTGTCCTGTCACAGAAGCTAAGGCCACGATTCAGTGGTCGACTTCAAAACCTGTCAAGGCGAGACCAAGGAATGGGGGTTTGCAGTCACTGGGTGTCCATATGGAGTGGTTCCAACAGTCTTTGTGTTCCTGAGGAGGGGAGTCAGTAACTGAACTGCAGCTTCAATGATGGATTTCTCCGTCCTGCCCAGGGAGAGAAAGCGTTGGCGTTGGTGTTACTGTGGTGCTGTTGTGGGGTTGGAGTTACCATAGAGTGCTCCAYTGTATAGTAGTTACTCTGCAGACAATCAAGAGGTTGGTTTTTCTACCTCAGGGAGAGGAAATACTGCTATAGCTGTTATAAAAGCTGTTTGGAACTGCACAAGTAAAGCACTGTATGCTTCCTGTCTTGCAGATGTATGTTATTTTTATATACCTCTTGTTTTTATTTAATTCCTATTAAGTGTTTGTGTTGATGAATAATTAGAACCAGGATTGGTATRCCTTTCTTTTGAATAAGCCATTATTTTGTTTAGATTTTTATCTCCCCTAAAATCCATTCATACTCCAAGGTACTGAAAGGCAAAATATTTTAATGGTGTTTTTGCAGAATATTTGGCTGAATGGATGAGGAAAGAGTCATCCCAGTTAGCACTATTTAAAAGAGTGATGGCAGTGCAGTGAGCCTTATTTTCCATTTTTGTCAGTCACAGATGTAAATAATTCAAACAAAAGCATGGAAAGAACTTTACCRTTTGAAACTGGAACTGCATGAGCCTCATTGGATATAATTAGTAATTCCTGTGTTCTTCAATTTGACATTCTTAAGAAAAAGGCTGGTTTTCCTGAAGTATAAACCATTAAAAAGTTAATGCTGTTTTCCACTGGGCTCCTATGGTAAGATAGAATATTCATGTATTTCATGTGTATGCTTATATAATAAAGCATTCACAAATTTCTTTCTCTTTGGAAAATACTTCTCCAAATCAGCACTCCATATAYGAAGCTTTAAGATTATATCATCTGTTTGTTTAAGGTAAGCATTAGGACAGGTGTTATTATTTTATAATAGATTCTTAATCCCTTGTCTGTGAAGTGTTGATGTTTTCATTAGAGTTAAAATATGTTGCATGTGTACAGAAAGCCTGAAATCTCAATATGTGGTCCTATCAATTTTAATTATTTGAATCATTAGAACATCCAATTTTTTGCTTAAGGGTACACCAATGTACCATTGAGTCTGTTTTTTAAGGTTTTTTCCAGTTTAATGTCTGAATCCAAATTCATAAAGAGTTGGAAAAATGAGATGTCTGAGCTATAGGATTCACAGGGATTTTATATGAAGCCTATTTAATCAGGATAACACTGTTATTAATATTCATAAAGTCAGCTGGAACACAAATGACAGACTATGGAGCCTAAAATTTTTTACTTGTGAATTTATTAAAAGCAGCTTAAAAAATTAATGGAATTTAAGTAAAGTTGACGAAAATGAAAATCTTATGTTAGCAGAAAAAATCTATATTAGAACTTTGTCTAAGACCATCTTGCATTGATATCTTTGACAGATTTCATTGGTACTTAAAGAAGAAAGATGCATGAATGGTCATTTAAAAGGATTTAAACACATTGGCACATTAATTTTTACATGAATAATAAGTAGTTTCCAAAAGCAATTAACTTACAGTGTACAAGATTTGAATAGAAAAATAGGACTGTGACATCAAAGGGCAAATCAAATGTGCAGTACATTTTAAACTTTTAATAATACGACTTCTTAAAATATCTTTTTCTTTTCCACGGTAGGTAGAGTAGCAGCAAAGGTATTTGAGTACAGCTTAGGTTTGTTTTGAAATATACCAAGATGTGGGGAAAAAAAAATTATGTGAAAGTGCTATTGGTAAAGAAAAAATTCAGGCTTTTAGAGTGATCAGGTGCTTCTCAATTGAGCTTTCCTGTAGCTTCTCTGTGTGGAAAACAATTACATCCTACCACAGTGTGTGATTTTTCTCCCATGCTTCTATATGCAGCATTGGGAAGCATTTGTTATTTCTGTAGATGGCAAAATAGTTAGATTTGAGAGTTCTCTCATTATTGTACTTAACTATGAATTTTATGTGACTGTTGCATTTTATATTCAACAGATAAGGACAATTTCTTTTTTATTTTCATCAATTTCTTTCATGATGTCCGAGTAGTTTTACACAAGCACAGGTTGAATAAATAAATAGTTAATAAGGAAATTAGATTTAAAATTAATTCTAGCATTTGGGTCATGGTTTCATTTTGTATTTTCAGTCTACCAGTACACTTTATTTTAATCTCCAGCTTTAATTTCCTCCCATTATTACACGGATTGATTATTAACAGATGGTCTTCAAATGAAAGATTTAGAATAATTGTATTCTATTATTCTGATGATTCCTTATGTGAAAACCTTAATGGCCACTTCTCATGGTTTTTGATATGGTGAAGTTTTAACGCTGACTGAATAATGATGGTCCAATAAGTTTRAAAATACATCTATGTTCAAGGTACCTTCTGTAAAGGTGTATTTTAAACAAGTAAGCGTTGTGCAAAAGTCAGCCACCTATTGCAGCGTTTGTTTTCAGAGCGATCAGYTTAAATACTTAGTGTCTGGAATATTTTGTTGTTCTGTAACCTAAAATTTTTTTCTAATTATGAGGAAATTAATTTGCRCATCCCAGGGAGCCCCAAAATCTTTCTGTTTTACTTTGATCGATAGGTGACCTGAATCTGATCAACGTTTTTTATTTTCTCTATGTGTAAACCAGAAAATTCCTATTAATTAGCAGGACCTATTTCACCAATGAAGACGGAGTCTGTAAAATGAGGCTCTTGACTTCGGCCACAAATTTTTCCTGTGCCATAGTCTATTATTTCCGGGAGAGGGCAGCATTTTCCTATATCAGGTTCAGGAAGGCACATGCCATGCTTAGACTGTCAATGTTTCTTGTAATTACTCCCAGTATATTTGTTGCTTGCTTATGAATTAACTTGCATTTATGGAACTAAATCATTCCAATCATTTAATTACACCTGAGGAGCTGAACTATAATTGCTTGCTTCCAACTAGGATCTGATATGGCTTGAGCAGTATTAATTTGGTGTTTACTTTTCTGAGTGCTAAAAGCATTAAAATGATTGTGCAATGGGATTACATTTTACTAATTGCTGGCATTCATTAGCTGGGTAAATGGCGAGGAAGAATGACTGTATATTGTGGAGGGATAAAATTATGGTTTTAAATAGTATATTACTAGACACATTAAGGCCCTAAGACATGTTTTAAAATACTCCAGAGGTTATTAAACACCATATTTTCTTCATGTCTTGCTATATGAATATCTTATTAAAATACTGCAATTATTATGAACCTTTTTGTGCAATATGTAGGGAAATGGCTTCATTGACAGGAACCTATTTCTTGATATTAATAACCCTCTATATTTTCAGCTAATCCAAAAGTAAATGAGGAACTTAGAAAAAGATTGCCAACTTCAAATCAACACAGTTACACAGAATTGAAGAAGAAGCATACAGCTTCATTTGAGGGATTCTTGTAAGGGACTTGGTGTTCTGCAATATGAGGTGAAGTTGTTATTTTGTGTTAAGACCTAAACACATCAAATCCTGTGCATTTATTTAACCGTGCACATTTATAGTCAACAACAAATATAATTTAAATGTGTATTTCCTGAATGTTTGGTGTACATGTTAGGGTTTAGTCTTAAATGGTTTTGCAATTAACTTTTTTTATCATTTTAAAGATAAAAATTAAATAATCTGCTTTTTTGGTGTTGTATGGGAAAACAATTTTTTCTGCTGCTTTATTATTTAGGATATGTGTCTTGGTATAATTTGCTTGAATTGTATGTGTTTTTTTTTTTTAAATCTCTTACGTTTTTCTGCACAATGACAACTCTCTGGGTGTTTTCATAATCCATCCACTGTATCTTCAAGACACATAAATCTTTTTAATAAATGTAAATGTATATATATATATATATATATATATATATCAGGGAAAACATGCAAAATTAGCACATAGTTAAAGATCCAAAATTGTCCTGTATACAATACTTTCTAAGAAGGTGCTTGAGTAAATAATAAAATTTGTGGTATGCTTACTATGTTACCAAGATTACAAACTTACTTAGATTTCCTTGTGATACATAGTATAATTGAATTTTTAACACATAAAAGAATATATATTTTAACAAAAAAAATTATGGCTGGTAGGCATTTTTCTGTGGGTCTTATTGAGGATTATTTCTTTAAGATCTTTGATTATAGGAAATATTGCAACTGTGTAATTAACTATAGTCTGAAGCAATATGTATGCAAATATTARGATGCATTATTTAGCTGTTTGGAAAGACCTGCAAATTCAGAGTTGGCATAGTCATAAGCCACTTTACCTGTATTTTATCTAGGAAATTGAAGCAAAAGAAAGAATGCTGTGAAGTGAAGCACATGCCACCATCTGTARTAACTGCCAAAGTGAGAAGTGTTGTTGCCTCTAGCAGGACTGCTTGGTGTGGTTTGAGCTGTTCTTGCAACACCAGACTCGAGAAGAAAATACTAATAAATATTTCAGCAAAGGCATTACATGCAACAGAAAACTGAACCAAATATTTATAACAATTAGATGAGTGCAGAAAAAATATTTTATATAATATAATTTTCACTCATTGTTAAAATATGCACACTTCATTGTCCTGTTATAAATATTTAATATAATTTCTCTTGTAAATTTTCTGTAAAATGAAGGCAAAGTGTAGGTGTATTATATTGTTTCAAGTTTATTTATCTAGAGTTTGTTTTATTTTAGCTCTGAAACATTCAAGCAGAAGCTGGACTCTGTGCCAGATCAAACAAGTTCAGAAGAACAAATGGAGAACTGGTCAAAAGGTAGGGACTTTAAAGATATTAATAAGGAACCTCAGGTGTTGTACCAGTGCTAGGCAGTGACTGGAGTGTGTTTATTCTTGCTGATATATGACTGTGGAAGAAAAAACCCACAACCACATACTGCCCCTTAAAAGTACTTGGAATAACAGGAGAGCTGTTACATGAGTATAAAGCTTCACTTTTGTTTTCTGGATTATTGAAAATATTTTTGTATAACTTTCAAAAGTCTTGTTTAAATTCTTAGTCTGTACATTTCATTTTACTTTCCAATTTTTTTTTAATGGTTTACAATAAATCTGAAGATYTGACTTAAAGTACTCGTGCCTAGGGTATGACTAAGTTGCCTACTAATATTAATGAGTTTCTCATTAATTGCTCAACTGAATTGAGACTGTAAGGTAAGGCTTGGAGGTAAAGGTAGCCTTGGTTAACTTGGGACATCCCTAGTTCACGGAGTTTTCATCTTCATCAGGATGAAAATATCTTTTTTGTATCTGTATTTGGTTGAACAAACACAATTGTTCTCAGAGACCTTCTTATATGTTTCATGACAGAAACCTAAGGGGAAAAAAACCCCACTGAATTTGAGAGTACATTATATGGCTGACTTTTTAGAAGASCATTGTCAGAAAGTGGTTTGTGACTAGTTTATAGTGTGTAGAAGGAAGAAACAAAAAAGAGACCAGTTAAGGGTGGGTTTTTGGTACTAAGTGAATATGTGTAGATTAAAAAAACCAAAATGGAATAGGTGTGTCAACATCAAGGTTTCCCTCTATATCAGAGCCYGATAGCTTCTTGTATATCTCCTTTTTTTTTTTGAGTTTTATACTATGTATTCTCTCTCAAAAGATAATAAATGTCAAGCTTTTCATGGAGAGTCTGTTCAGAAGGAAGAAGAAATGCTCCATTTTGGAGCTAATGCTTGTCTTTCACATGTAAAGGAATTACTACCTATATTATTCTGTAAAATAAACTAACTGCTTCTAGACCCCTTTCAATTTATGRAATTTTGAGCTGTTACTGAGTCAAGTTAAAAAGTTTTTGTGTCATATACTCTGTAAACAAAAATAGTCATGGTTGTATAAGTTAGTGGAGAATTGTATTCTGACAATTTAAATGTGACATGGCTTAATCAGGTTTAGTATTTTTAGACCTTTAGGGGTCAGCATACCCTAAGAATGGTTCAAAAGGTTAAATTTGCCAAAGTAGGCAAGTGAAACTGATTCTCTGTGAAATATTTTCTGTCTAATTGCAAGAAATTATGTTCTGCTGCTGCTCAGAGMTATTTTTAAAACTGAGAAGTTACTGAGTTTCTTGTGTATTTTTTTCTGAGGCATTAAGTTCAAAATTTGTGCTGTTTAGACAGCTGTTTCCTCCAAGCTAACRCTTACAGATTCATGCATCCAATAGGAGTTGTTATATAAACAAAAATAAAATTTATACACTTTTCTTTAGAATAATCATTAATAAGTAATGTAATTCTTTATGCTTTTGCTCCTAGGAAAGTTAGAGAAAGGGATTATGGGTAAATCTCATAAATTTCCTGTCATGATACTGGTTTGGATGAGGAATTTTTTTTTCTTAGAATTTTATTTGGGTATTAACAGCTAAATTGCATTCGCTTACCATAAAGATAACCGGTCATTTTCAGCAACATAATGTTCAATATGTGCTCTTGGTGGATATTCTAGTGCATTTTCTCATTGTATTACTTAAGCACAGCAACTTTTCATATTCTGTGTAAATGTGTGTGTTGAAGAGTGTGCCATTTTGTGTTCTGCTTGCTCTGTCATCTTTCCTTTGTGCAGCTGGTACTGAACAGGATTTTGATGTTCCTTYCTTGTAACTTGGAAGTTTAAATGCTGGGTTGAGAATAACCCTATAATCATTCATTCAAATGTTTTTAATATCCATCACTGAGATATTGGAGATTATATTATTTGTCAACAAATAAGGATGRTAAAGCAAATATGAGGTTAAATTCTTCTGACTAAATGAAAATTCAGTCAAGCAATGAGAATTAAAAAAAATAGAAAAAACGTCAGATACAGAGAAGTGGTGGGTTTATGGCGGTTATGTGGGATAATATGTAACCTGTTAATAGATGTTATAAAATAAAATACTTGAAAGAAAGGTAGTGTTTAAGAGGAGTATATCTGAAGTGTTTGATAGGTGAGATTTTCTTTTTAACTTTCCGAGTTGTTTGGAGTATAGTATCCCTGTGTGGGTTGAAGACTTTGTCACTGTTCTGTTCTATTAGGAAGAATTAAAGAAYAGTCTGTGTGCAAGGGTTGTTATTTTGTATCAGGTTTAAATGTACCCTTTCTCCACAGCACCTAGTTTTTACTAGGAGGTTCATGTCTTTTTTAATGTCTCTGTGAGGGTATTTGAGAGAATGTACCAGGAACATTGGCAGCAGACCATTGAGCTCTATGCCACTTAAAAATGAAAAATATTCAGGATATCTAGAAAGCCTAGAATAGTATTCAATTATAAAAATAAACTTGTATTGGCAAACAGATGCATATCTTTGCATTGCAGTGATGGTGGGTGTGAGGAAACWCATTTCATCAGGGTAGAGTTTTTACTTCAGTGAGGTTTCCATGACTAATAGAAACTACAAAAATATTAATACTGTGAAAACACAAGAGGGAACCTAAAAGTGGGTGGTTTCTGTACTTATATATATATATRTTTAGGACTTGMTGTGGCAGTTTTCCAGAAGAGTTACCAGGATAAGAAAGTAGTGATTGCGCAAAATGCTGGAGTTAAATTTGTGTCTTATTTGACTCAGACTGTGTACCATGTTTGAATAGGCGCAGCTATACTTCTGTATTATTTATCTTTCACTGTTGTAATGTTTTTGCTTATGTCATGTTTCTGAGCATCCGTGCTTTAAGGACAGGCCAGAAATTAGGAGAAGTCTTAGAATTTTGAGTACTGTTTGRTCTATTTTGACAACAAAATTAAGAGTTTTGCTGACTCCAGAATTTAACGTATTGTATCATTATTATTTGTAAATTTCTAAAACAAGGTAATAGATTGATTATTTTAAATGGCAGAGTTGTTTGCTTTCTTAAAAGGTGGTTATTATGTTTTTTTCAAACATAGAAATATATATATATATATATATATATATGCATAGCTAAGCCATTACTTAAAGCACATTTTGAAAAGTAAGTCAGTGAACCAATTTCACTTTAAGAATTTGATGGCAATTCTTAGTTATGATCCATATAGACACTTTCCGTGCAACTTCAAAAGAATRCTTGCAGCTTGTAACTGAACTTTATAATTGCGTGTGTGAAAACTAGTTCAGAGGAGACTAGCATTAAAGAGATGTGATAATGTAGATAGGAACAGAACTGCAGAATCAGCTTGTGCAGGGAAATTTGCAAAGGAGGTATTTTATCTGGTGGCGAGCTGGGTTCTTTTGGTCTTTTTACTTTTATGGTAATTGAGGAAATGTAGTCATATGCATAGTTTAATTTAAATGAAACATCTTCTTTTGCTAACTTTACTATCTTGTAAGAAGTAAAAAACTCTTCCAGTTGTGTAATGATTGTAATGTCCTTTTTTGTGGATTTGATTTTGCAATAGTAATTACAAGGGCTTTTTCGTCTGGAATTTCTATTGTGTGAGTTTGACACACACGAAGATGAATGGGTAAAGAAAGCCTTGAGAGCAATATGGCATTGTAAAGGTTTTTCATCTAATGCTCCAGTTGGGTCAAAAAACAGCTAATGGTAAAGGTGCTGATGCTGCTTTCTCCAGAATTTACCCACTACAGCTGAAAACACTCTAAAGTAAATCTAAAGCTCTTCTTTCAAGGCTRTAGCAGAGATGGAATTAAGCACACTTGTCACAATGAAGTCTTTTTCTTCTTTTGCATGCCTCAACARGAGATACTGTGAGTCTGGTCTCCCTCTGCTCTCATGTTTTAGCAATTAAGTGCTGTTTGCTTCGGAAAGAAAGAAGGCCTGGATACTGCAAGGGTGTGCATGCAGAAAAATGTACATGATATGCAGAGAGGCAGCATCCTCTACAGCCATGTGGCTCAGCTGATCAGTGTCTTCAGTGTGTGCTGTGCTTTCAGCATCAAACTCCCTGTGCTCTGTCAGAAGTCCCCTTGCAAAGAGCCAAGTATAGCTGGAGGTTTTTCTGTCTTATGTAAAAGGCTGAAAAGAGGCTGAGAGGATGAACTTTCATGAGTAAAACCTAGGAAAAGTGGCTAATAACTGTTGAGCAACATTAAGTGTGGAAGATGAAGAAAACATCTTCCATGAAAAAGAAGGAATAGTGTGACATGACTTAGAAGATAAGAATGAGTTAATGATAACTGAAAAATCACCAAATGCTGCTTGGTCTTTTCCTGTAAATATAATCACCCCTTCATGCATTTAAATTCTCATCTCTCCTTTTTCCATCCCATTTCTTTCCTTGTACATTTTGAGTGGTGGAATACCGGACATTTTTAGCCAGACTGCTTGCAGAAAGACTCCTCACCAGAAGCACAATTAGATATACAGTATTTTCTTGACTCACTGCAAAGTTGTGAATATGATTTTTTCCACCCTTTAGAGTACGCCCAAAATGTGTAGGGCCTTATCTGCATTGAATGCTGCAAGCACTGATGGGGAGAATGCACACCATGAAGTACTGCACTTTGAATCTTAAGTGTGTAAAGTATGAGTGCAGCTAACTTCAGAAAGCCTTGAAATGTACTTCAGAGAGAACAGCACTTGCTACCACCGTCATTTTTAAGTAGTGCTTCAGAAGGAGCTTTGGAAGACCTTGCACAAGTGCAAGAGGAATTTGGTTATTTTCTTCTTTAGAAACCTTCATTACTTCTATTTTTGTAACAGCTGGAATGAGGCTTAAGTTCAGATCAAAAACATAAAGAAATTATTAAAAGACAGGTTCTTCAGGGAGTGCCTTGGAGGCTCCCAAGTWCACCTGCATATTTAGTAGATCATTACTGGAGTAGAGGGTGCATTGGC